TCCTTGGTGTGCAGATTGGTGAAAATAAATCCTCTCCAGGAAGCACGGCACCGGAGAGCTGCTCCGGAGTAATCCCGGCAGTTCTCCAGGCAAGCCCTCTGCCTGCTCGGAGGAGGGGAGAGCCAGCGCAGCAGCAGGAGTGACCCTGCTCCTCACAGCACGCTTGTGTGCGTTGCTGCTCCTTGCCAGGAGGGGTGCAGGATGTCTGGAAGCTGCGCAGTGGTTTGATCTCCCGGGCAGCCTCGTTTACAGTCCGTTCTGCTCCGTTAGGTATCACAGCCTGTACCTGAAGGTCAAGGGTAACGTGTTCAAGAACAAGCGGATCCTGATGGAGCACATCCACAAGCTCAAGGCAGATAAAGCTCGCAAGAAGCTCTTGGCGTAAGTGTTGCCTCACTGTTAAGCTTCGGTCTTGCAGGTTGTGGAATCGACGTTCTTTAAATAACTCTGCGGGCGGGCAGGCGATTCCGGGTGGCTTCTGTCGCTGGTGGCTCTGTCTGGAGCCCTGGTGAAGAATCAAACCAAAACCGGGTAGGGCTGGCTTGAAGCGGAGAAATACGTAACCCGGCAGAGCTTTGTGCGTTTCACTGCCGGCGTAGCAGATGATGGTTGCTCATACGGCTGTAAACTGGTAGATCTACCGATCCAGCCACTTAGATCAGTAAAGGACTGACGGGGGGAGGTGAGGAGGCGTAAAGAGACGACGGGTTTCAAAAATCCTGCTGCGTGCTCGGTAAAAAAGCCAGTATCTTAACCTCGGTCCCTAGTAAAGACGTGTGACCCCAGCCGGCCCCAGCGGGGCAGTCCCCAGAGCCAGGATCACAGCTCCTCCTTGGGCAGAACCAAGAGCCCGGCAGCGTGGGGCAGGGAGGGCGGCAGAGCCCAGCGTCCTCGCTCGGGGCTGAGCGGGACCGGGTTAGCACCGCCGAGAGCGACAGTTAGAGCTGCGGATGGCACGGGAGCGCTGGAGCGAAGCCTGCCAAGCTGCGCTCGCTGCAGCGGCTGGTTTGGTGGACCAGGATCCTGTGGGGCGAGAGGAGACCAGGGCCGGTGGTAAAGGCTTTCTCGAGGCTGTTCGAGGCCATCCCTGCGCATTCACGAGCTCTTACCTTCTTGCAGTGACCAGGCCGAAGCTCGCAGGTCCAAGACCAAGGAGGCTCGTAAGCGCCGTGAGGAACGCCTGCAAGCCAAGAAGGAGGAGATCATCAAGACCCTCTCCAAGGAGGAGGAGACCAAGAAGTAAACGCTGCCTGTCTTGTGTACATAGTGTTTTCCATCCATGCGAGTTCAGTAAAACACCACATCCAGGACTCCTCCCCACCGAGTCTTGCGCTCGCTCTCCAGGGTTTCTGGAACTGGGAAGGGAAGGGCTGGGAAAGACCTGCCGCTCCCCGTCTCGGTGCTGGGTCTGCCCCGGCTCGTTGGGAACCAAACGAGTCTGTCGGGCAGTTCCTGGGGTAAGGATGAGCCCGTAGCCCGCGGGGCTGACGGCAGAGGGGAGAACGCGGGCCGGAGTGAGTCAGTCCTGCTGACGCCAGCCCTCGTCCCGGGCCAGGCAGCCCCAGGGCCGGCTGCGGAGGGCAGCGCTGCAGGCAGAGCCCAGTCCCTGCGCCGGCAGCTCCTCTGCGCCCTGCCGCAGCCACCTTCCCCCTCCCGACACCTCTGCCCACAAGCGCAGCGCTGGCCCTGCTGAGCTCTGGTGGGAGAAAAGGGGTCGGGGGGCTGCCCCCGCCGCACCCCGGAGCCCTTCCCCGTGGCTCCCTGGCCCAGGCAGGGACAGGCAGCAGCTCCTCGGGGACGGTGCTGGGGCTTGGGCAGCACCTTCAGCTGGAGCCTCTGGATCCTCCGCTGGGAGGATCCGCTGGCCCTGGGGCAGGAAGGCTCGGGGACCGACGAGTTCCTTGGGCCCACCCTAAACCCCCAGGAAGGGGTCTGGCTGGACCCCAAACACCCTGACAAGTCGCTGCACCCCGACGGGAGGTGGCCGATGGCAGAGCCAGGCTGGACGCGGGCGCAGAGCCCTCGGCCACCCTCTCACAGCCAAAACCCACAGCCAGCTCACAGCCGAGTCCAGGGGTGACCTGACGCGATTCAGCCGGGGAAGGAGCCAACCGCGGTGGCCTTGGGGTGGTGGGGGGGACACAGCTGAAGGCACCGATGTGCCCCGATGCCCATCAAGAAAATGGTGCCAAGACGCCCAGGGTGGGGGTACAGCCCCGACTGCGTGTGCCAGAGCCAGCACCCTCGGGAGCCAGCCCTGAAGGAGAGCAGGCTCCCAGCGCTGCTGGTCCTGGGGGGGGG